GGACTTTACGTTGTCCGTATCAAGCAATATCACGGAGAAGGTCTGTACAGATTGGCATCCACTTGTACTCCATACAGAAAGCATGAACCCGGATCTTCTGCCAGTGAGTGCGTTATACAGTTAGCATTTACTTTTGTCCGTGCAGTTAGCATTTCATCTTGTCGTACAGTTAGTTTCTGTTACTTGTCCTTACAGATCGCCGCATTTACTTAATCTGTACAGAAATAGCATTTACCTGTCCGATTACAGTTAGCATTTACTTGTCTCAGATATTGTCAGTACAGTTATCATTACTTGTCCGTTACAGTTAGCATTTACTTGTCTGTGTATACAGTTAACACACTTAATTGTCTGTTTAGAATTTACTTGATCGTACAGTTAGCATCTACTTGTCCGTTACAGTTAGCATTTACTTGTCCGTACACTTAGCATAACTTGTCCGTGCAGTTGGCATTTACTTGTCCATACAGTTAGTTTCTACTTGTCCGTAGTTAGCATCTGCTTCTTCGTGCACTGAGTTTTTACTTGTCCATTACAGTTAGCATCTTTACTTGTCCGTACAGTTAGCATTTACTTGTCCGTACATCCTTGTCCGTGCAGTTAGCCTCTACTTGTCTGTACACTTAGCATTTACTTGTCCGTACAGTTAGCATTTACTTGTCCGTACAGTTAGCATTTACTTTGTCCATACAGCTAACATCTACTTGTCCGTACAGTTAGAATTTACTTGACCGTACAGTTAGCATCTACTTGTCTGTACAGTTAGCATTTACTTGTCCGTACAGTTAGCATCTACTTGTCCGTACAGTTAGCATCTACTTGTCCGTACAGTTAGCATCTACTTGTCCGTACACGTACACTTAGCATTTACTTGTCCACACTTACACTTAGCATTTACTTGTCCGTACAGTTAGCATTTACTTGTCCGTACAGTTAGCATTACTTACTTGTCTGTACAGTTAGCATCTACTTTCCGTGCAGTTAGCATCTACTTGTCCGTGCACTTAGCATTTACTTTTCCTCACAGTTAGCATTTACTTGTCCGTACAGTTAGCATTCACTTGTCTGTACAGTTAGCATTTACTTGTCCGTACAGTTATCAGTACATCTTTGCTTGTCCATGCACAGAATTTACTTGCATCTACTTGTCCCATACAGTTAGCATTTACTTGTCCGTACAGTTAGCATTGACTTGTCTGTACAGTTAGCATCTACTTGTCCGTACAGTTAGCATCTTACTTGTCCGTACAGTTAGCATTTACTTGTCCGTACAGTTAGCATTTACTTGTCCGTACAGTTAGCATTTACTTACTCCGTACAGTTAGCATCTACTTGTCCGTACAGTTAGCATATACTTGTCCGTACAGTTAGCATTTACTTGTCTTGTCCGTGCACTTAGCATCTTTACTTGTCCGTACAGTTAGCATCTTACTTGTCCGTACACATAGTTAGCATGTAGCTTGTCCGTACAGTTAGCATTTACTTGTCCGTACAGTTAGCATTTACTTGTCCGTACAGTTAGCATTTACTTGTCCGTACAGTTAGCATTTACTTGTCTGTTTGCAGTTAGCATTTACTTGTCCGTACAGTTAGCATTTACTTGTCTTAAATACAGTTAGCATTTACTTGTCCGTACAGTTAGCATCTACTTGTCCGTACAGTTAGCATTTACTTGTCCGTACAGTTAGCATCTACTTGTCCGTACAGTTAGCATTTACTTGTCCGTACAGTTAGCATTTACTTGTCTGTACAGTTAGCATCTCCTTGTCGTACAGTTAGCATCTACTTGTCTGTACAGTTAGCATCTACTTGTCCGTACAGTTAGCATCTACTTTTCCGTACAGTTAGCATCTACTTGTCCGTACAGTTAGCATCTACTTGTCCGTACAGTTAGCATCTACTTGTCCGTACAGTTAGCATCTACTTGTACGTACAGTTAGCATCTACTTGTCCGTACAGTTAGCATCTACTTGTCCTTGCAATTAGCATTTACTAGTCATCATGCCAAGATTGTGGCACAAGTCACACAAAGCAAAACATCCAACACTATGTCCTGACTTCTCCGCCACTAAATACGCCAGGGTTTGTACGTCATAGTGCACCCAACTCTCAATGAACATATGCTACCCTCATTCAATCGATTTTCGTAAATAATTGTCCTCCTGAGAGGATTCGTCCCAAAACTTTCAAAGTGAATTTCGACCTACAAAATTTTAATCGTAGAATAGTTGTTGTTTTAAATAATGGCTAAAATTCACTACAATCACCGGTGGCTGAAGGGAAGATGTAAATCCAGCTAGAGTCCATGCAGGTAGCAAAGGTACTGTAAGTCCCGATGGTCCTTAGTATGGTGATCAGTCTCCAGTTGCTGGTGATCTATAGCCCGGTTTTATAGTGTATTGTTCTTTATAGTGATATATTTTTATGATAGCGTACTCGTTTTAAATTATGAGCTGTGATACTCAAATAGTTTTACTGTCCTTCGATGACAGGTTCTTATGTTCTCAATTTATTGTTTTTAATACTGATATCTTAGGGACCCTATCACAAATCTTTGTCACCCCTGCTCAATGTTACCCAAGCCAGTTATAAACAAACGTAACTGGGGAGTCACCTTATGTAAAAACATTATTACTATTATTGCTCATTAAAAACACTATTACAACATACAGCTGTGTACAAATAATATACAGTGTTAGTTCATGTACAGGTTTTCAGAATCACTTACGACATTCAAACATGGAACACATCTTATGACAACTTCAGTCAAATGGTCTCTGTTACAGTCACTCAGTACAACCTTATACAAGTACAGCAGCAGTTTGGAGATGTGACAGTGAAGGGCGCTGAGAATCTGAACATTGGCGGAACCCAGAATGTCGGTACAACTCCGACCAAACAGGATGAAGAGGAGGTACCACTGACTGCAGCACAGAAGATCAGGAGTGAGTTATTTGACAGATTATTCATCCACTGGAAGCCTGACTGATTTTGTCGCCACTGAACAAGACAGCTTGTAAACATAGTAGAATTTCCAATTAGGGTGTAATATGTCAAAATCTAACATTTGTTCTCTTTTACTCAGATTTTATGCATAGTTAAATGTGTTAAATGTGCCTTGTTTCCACAGAAAGGACGGCGTCCAGGATACAGTCGTGGACTAAAGACATGGTGGAGACAAAAGCCTTCAAGAAAGTGAGAGAAGCTGGACAGAGGAGCCACATGGGTAACAATTAAAGGAAGACCAGGAGAGGGAAGTCCACAATAGCCTACATGACCCTCAAAAACCAGCAGAGTCAGGGGAGACAAGTATACCAAGTGGTGTCACCAGCAGAGTTCAATGAGGTCATAATGGCCTGCACTAATCCTGTCATTCTGTTAGATGACATATTTGGTGATTTGGAATTTGACACAGCTGAGTGGGCTAAGTGGAGACCAAGTCTACGACCTATCCTGGATGTGAAACATCCTGACAAATATGCTGAAAAGGTTCCAGAGAGACAAAAAATTGATCAAACACAGCTAAAACAAACAAGTCCAAACAAAGACAAAACTATCATTATCCTCGTAGGCCGTGACTATGTGCTGAAATCCTCATTGGCAGACTTGGGAAGGATGGCAGATTACATTTCCAGTCCCCAGTACGTAGTGGAAGTTTCCTCACAGAGAGACTCTTATGAGCGAAAGAAGATATGGCGTGTTCATGCTGAAGCAAACAATATAGACTTTGAAGAGTCAGTTGTGTCTCAGATATGTAAGGCAGACTGTCCACACGGCTTCCCCCATGTCTGTAAAATGTTTTCCACAGCATATGAAAAGGACTGGACTCACCTTCAAATGCAAATGTTTTTCAAGCACCACTTGATTTCCTCAGACAGACTTTGGATAAATCTATCCAAGACATGAGAAAGCGTTCACTGTTCATGGCCATGATTAAAAGAGATGGGAAGATTAGTGGACAAGAGCTGGAAGAGGATGATAGTCTGGGATATGAATGCATACAAGCTGCTGATGATTTGGTTGGATCTTACCTCAAGAAGGAAGATGACACTTACATGTTTGATCATCCGTCTATATATGACAGTGTTTCCTTTATTCTCAGTACAAAACTGTCGAAGTTTGTCATCGAAAATTGTAGTTTGTCATTTATCCGCCAGCGCCTTCGTCTTGCATCCTCCAAAGAAAGAGAGAACAACGTTCCTGGTGAGACAGGTATTGTTGCAAATATCTCGTGGACTTATGCTGGACATTTAGCTGGAAGATTTGCAAGTGAAATTAAAAAGAGCAATTTTTTGCATGTTTTATCCCACCAGGCATTTTGTAATTCAGACTTTGTTGACTTGCTAATGGACTGCCTGAAGAACCGGTTTCACATGCGTATATCTGATATTGTGAAACTAAGTGATAGCAACTCAAAAAGTCATTTTGTGAATTACTTTCCAGCAGCAAGTCACATCATCTCATTCAAATTCTTATGGAGAAAGAAAATATATCATTCAACCGGAGGGAAGAAAGGGATATTTTAATGGGTGTTTGCCGGAATGCTGCGTCCAATGTACTGAAATACATCAGTGGACATATGAAACTACGTGTAAATACGAAATGTAGAGGGCAGACGCCGCTAATGTTAGCAGCTAAAACCAAAGACAGTGCGTTTGTCAATCAGATGTTATCCCTTAAGCCTGACCTGAATGCCAGAGACGATTATGATAAAAGTGTTTTTCATTATCTTTGCACAAATGGCCTTACATCAGCCGTGGAACATGCGATTGACAAAGGTGTGAACGTTAATATGGACCATGGGCCATATGAACACCCCATATACCTTGCGATAGAGGAAGGTCACTTAGAGAGGTGGTGAAACTGTTGGTTAACAGAGGTTGTGATATATAGACAGCCAGAGGGGTTTCAGATGTGCTCTTCAGAGTCGGAACGAGAAAATGGTGCAGTTCTTTTTACACAGAGGAGTAGAGGTTGACGCTTTTGCAGTGCACACAGCATGTGAGATCGGGGAGCTGAATGTCGTCAAGATGTTGTTTGAGAAGGGTGCTACTATGAACATGAAGGCATCTGATGGAAGTACTCCTCTTCTGAGAGCATGCAGAGGAAACCCTAATGTTGTCTCGTATTTGCTGAAGAAAGAAGCCAGTGTGAACCAAGCCTCAACATTTACGGGAGACACAGCACTTCATATAGCAGCAGAACGTGAATCTGCAGAGTGTGTTGATATGTTATTGAAGGCTGGAGCTGATGTTAATGTACAGAATAATACAGGTGACACGCCACTTCATAGAGCAGCAGGATGGGGCTCTTCAGTGTGTGTTGATGTGTTACTGAAGGCTGGAGCTGATGTTAATGTACAAGATAATACAGGTGTAACACCACTTCTTCAAGCAGTAGGACACGGACTTCATAAAGCAGCAAAACGTGAAACTGCAGAGTGTGTTGATATGTTATTGAAGGCTGGAGCTGATGTTAATGTACAAACTAATACAGGTGTAACACCCTTACAGAGAGCAGCAGACCAGGAATCGACAGATTGTGTTGATGTGTTACTGAAGGCTGGAGCTGATGTTAATGTACAGAATAATACAGGTGAAACACCACTTCTAAGAACAGTATGCCGTAGATCTACGGAGTGTGTTAATGTGTTACTGAAGGCTGGAGCTAATGTCAATGTACAGGACAATGCAGGGGACACACCACTTCATAGAGCTGTATTGAAGTATGTATCTACATTGTGTTTTAATGTGGCACTGAAGGCTGAAGCTGTTGTGGGTGTAAAGAATAATACAGGAGACACATATCCTCTTGACGGAACTGGCCATGGTTCTACAGAGTGTGTTGATGAGTTATTGAAGGCTGGAGCTGATGTGAATGTAAAAAACAATAGAGGTTGTACGCCACTTTATACAGCTGTAATGTATGGATCTGAAGAGTGTGCTACTATGTTACTGAAGGCTGGAGCTGATATTAACCTTCAGAATGCAGCAGGTGACACACTACTTCATGTAACAGCAGCGTGGGGATCTACAAACAGTGTTGATGTGTTACTGAAAGCTGGAGCGAATGTTAATGTACAAAATAACACAGGCGACACGGCAATTCATCAAGCAACAGGACGGGGATCTACAGAGTGCGTTGATGTGTTACTGAAGGTTGGAGCTGATGTTAATGTACAAAATAATACAGGTGACACACCACTTCTTCAAGCAACAGGACGGGGATCTGTAGAGTGTGTTGATATGTTACTGAAGGCTGGAGCTGATGTTAATGTACAGAATAATGCAGGTGACACACCACTTCTTCAAGCAACAGGACGGGCATCTGCAGAGTGTATTGATGTGTTACTGAAGGCTGGAGCTGATGTTAATGTACAAAATAATATAGGTGTAACACCATTTCTTCAAGCAGTAGGACAGGCACTTCATAAAGCAGCAAAACGTGAAACTGCGGAGTGTGTTGATATGTTATTGAAGGGTGGAGCTGATGTTAATGTACAGAATAATAGAGGTAAAACACCACTTCATATAGCAGCAAACCGGGAATCTACAGATTGTGTTGATCTGTTACTGAAGGCTGGAGCTGATGTTAATGTACAGGATAATACAGGTGACACACCACTTCATAGAGCAGCAGAACGTGAATCTGCAGAGTGTGTTGATCTGTTACTGAAGGCTGGAGCTGATGTTAATGTACAGAATAATACAAGTGTAACACCACTTCATAGAGCAGCATTGTCAGAATGCCGTAGATCTACGGAGTGTGTTAATGTGTTACTGAAGGCTGGAGCTAATGTCAATGTACAGGACAATGCAGGGGACACAGCACTTCATAGAGCTGTATTGAAGTATGTATCTACATTGTGTTTTAATGTGGCACTGAAGGCTGAAGCTGTTGTGGGTGTAAAGAATAATACAGGAGACACATATCCTCTTGACGGAACTGGCCATGGTTCTACAGAGTGTGTTGATGAGTTATTGAAGGCTGGAGCTGATGTGAATGTAAAAAACAATAGAGGTTGTACGCCACTTTATACAGCTGTAATGTATGGATCTGAAGAGTGTGCTACTATGTTACTGAAGGCTGGAGCTGATATTAACCTTCAGAATGCAGCAGGTGACACACTACTTCATGTAACAGCAGCGTGGGGATCTACAAACAGTGTTGATGTGTTACTGAAAGCTGGAGCGAATGTTAATGTACAAAATAACACAGGCGACACGGCAATTCATCAAGCAACAGGACGGGGATCTACAGAGTGCGTTGATGTGTTACTGAAGGTTGGAGCTGATGTTAATGTACAAAATAATACAGGTGACACACCACTTCTTCAAGCAACAGGACAGGGATCTGTAGAGTGTGTTGATATGTTACTGAAGGCTGGAGCTGATGTCAATGTACAGAATAATGCAGGTGACACACCACTTCTTCAAGCAACAGGACGGGCATCTGCAGAGTGCATTGATGTGTTACTGAAGGCAGGAGTTGATGTTAATGCACAAAATAATACAGGTGACACACCACTTCTTCAAAGCCGCAGGACAGGGATCTACAGAGTGTGTTGATATGTTACTGAAGGCTGGAGCTCATATTAACGTACAGAATAATACAGGTGACACACCACTTCTTCAAAGCAACAGGACGGGCATCTGTAGAGTGCATTGATGTGTTATTGAAGGCTGGAGCTGATGTTAATGTACAGAATAATGCAGGTGACACACCACTTCTTCAAGCAATAGAACAGGGATCTACAGTTTGTGTTGATATGTTACTGAAGGCTGGAGCTGATGTTAATGTACAACATAAAACAGGTGTAACACCACTTCTTCAAGCAATAGAACAGGGATCTACAGAGTGTGTTGATACGTTACTGAAGGCTGGAGCTCATGTTAACATACAGAATAATACAGGTGACACACCCCTTCTTCAAGCAATAGAACAGGGATCTACAGATTGTGTTGATATGTTATTGAAGGCTGGAGATGATGTTTATGTGCGGAATAATACAGGTGACACACCACTTCATAGAGCAGCAGGAAAGGGATCCACAGTGTGTGTTAATTTGTTACTGAAGGCTGGGGCTGATGTTAATGTACAGAATAATACAGGTGACACACCACTTCACGCAGCAGAAACAGCAATGTTTGAATCTACAAAGTGTGTTCATGTGTTACTGAAGGCTGGAGCTCATGTTGATGTACAGAATGATACAGGTGACACGCCTCTTCACATTGCAGCAGAGTGGGGATCTGCAGAGTGTGTTGATGTGTTACTGAAGGCTGGAGCTGATGTTAATGTACGGAATAATACAGGTGACACACCACTTCACGCAGCAGAAGCAGCAGTGCTGGGATCCGAAGAATCTGTTTACGTGTTACTGAAGTCTGGAGCTGATGTGAATGTACGGAATAATACAGGTGACACAGCTCTTCATACAGCAGCTGGACGGGGATCTACAGAGTGTGTTGATGTGTTACAGAAGGCTGGAGCTGATGTTAATGCACAGAATGACACAGGTGACACAGTGCTTCATGTAGCAACAGGACAGGGATCTGAAGAGTGTGTTGCTGTGTTACTGAAAGCTGGAGCTGATGTTAATGTACAGAATAATACAGGTGACACAGTGCTTCATGTAGCAGCAGGGCGGGGATCTACAGAACACCTTGATGTGTTACTGAAGGCTGGAGCTGATGTTAATGTACAGAATGTAGCAGGTGACACACCACTTCATACAGCATCAACAGTGATGGCATCTGAAGACGTGTCACTACGGGGTTTAGTATTTCACACACCTCTTTCTACAGAAGGGTGTGTCGATGTGTTACTGAAGGCTGGAGCTGGTGTTAATGTACAGAATAAAACAGGTGACACACCACTTCATAAAGCAGCAGGATTTAGTTCTCCAGAATGCGTGGATGTGTTACTGAACGCTGGAGCTGATGTTAATGCGCAGAATAATGCAGGTAGCACACCACTTCATATGGCATCGGTGTGGAAATCTACAGTATGGATTCATGTCTTACTGGAGGCTGGAGCTGATGTTAATGTACTGAATACAACAGGTGACACACCACTTCATACAGCAGCAGGACGGGGATCTACAGAGGGCGTTGCTGTGTTACTGAAGGCTGGAGCTGATGTTAATGTACTCAACAGTTCAGGTCGCACACCACTTGATAAAGCTGCAGGGTGGGGATCTACAGAGTGTGTTGCTGTGTTACTGAAGGCTGGGGCTGATGTTAATGTACTGAATACAACAGGTGACACACCACTTGATAAAGCTGCAGTGCGGGGATCTACAGAGTGTGTTGATGCATTACTGAAGGCTGGGGCTGATGTTAATGTACTGAATACAATAGGTGACACACAACTTCATATAGAGCAGCAGCAGGATGGGGATCTACAGAGTGTGTTGATTCATTACTGAAAGCTGGGACTGATGTTATTGTACTGAATACAACAGGTGACACACAACTTCATATAGAGCAGCAGCAGGACGGGGATCTACAGAGTGTGTTGATTCATTACTGAAGGCTGGGGCTGGTGTGAATGTACTGAATAGTACAGGTGACACACCACTTGATAAAGAAGCAGCAGGACGGCGATCTTCAGACTGTGCCTAGTTGGTGTTGATGAACAGAATAATACAGATACTTACTATTTTATATCACGGGCCAGAAACGGTGAGTGTTGTTGTTTAAACGTCGCGTGGACGACGACTATACACAATCCATTGACATGTTGCACACCGACGTGAAGCTGGTTCCCAGGGCCAACTGGTGGTATCCTCAGAAGTGACCTGTCTTTAACGGGTTCGAAGCCGGGGCGCTTTTAAGCCCGATTTGACCCGATTTACGGCAGTATTTCACGCTGCAGATGCTTGTTATGTTTCGTACATCGACCACAGGGTTTTGTCGTTACTATGGATCGAAAGCCCCGTGTCTTAGCTTTCACGTCATGTGCGACACGTGCGGGTGTCGTCACGTTTTCCCACCCTTAAAGCCCCCGAAGCCAAGCCCCGTGCGTGTGACGGGAGCCAAAACAGCTCAGATTTCATATCAAAAGGGTTTGATCTCTGCATCCCGCTTGCACTAATCGTCTCGCACCCGGAGAAAGAAACATATGCACGCATATCATATATGAAAATGTTGCCACGTGGACAAGGCACCTGGGATCGTCACGGGTCGACGTGGGCACCTGGTTGGACGTCCACGTCCATTTGGCCATGTGATATAGACATGTCTTTTACCAAGAAAAGAGCCTTGCTCTGCGATCATCTTTATACGTCGCGTGGACGACAAATATACGCAACCCATTGACATGTTGCACATCGACGTGAAGCTGGTTCCCAGGGCCAACTGGTGGTATCATCAGAAGTGACCTGTCTTTAACGGGTTCGAAGCCGGGGCGCTTTTAAGCCCGATTTGACCTGATTTACGGCAGTATTTCACACTGCAGATGCTTGTTTTGTTTCGTACATCGACCACAGGGTTTTGTCGTTACTATGGATCGAAAGCCCCGTGTCTTAGCTTTCACGTCATGTGCGACACGTGCGGATGTCGTCTCGTTTTCCCACCCTTAAAGCCATCCCAAGTTAAGCCCCGTGCGCTCAGATTTGACTGATCTGTGCGTCCTGTTTGCACTGATTGTCTCACACGCGGATCCCCTTTGCTACTGCTGTATATAAACACAATGGGCCGAAACGACAATTATAGAGTTTTGGAATTACGATAAAATGATGATCTACCGGACAGGGCATGTGCGTTTAAACGTACCTACACATACACTTACGAATGGAAAGCCAGAACTGGGCATTGGCTTTTGACGTCAAGTGGACGCCATCCCTGCCTAACAGTGCAGGTCCCATCCTCATGTGCTGGCTGTGGTCCCAAAAGGTGGCATCCAGACGGCGTCGCAACATCCTCTTCAAGCGCCGATTCGTCTCCTCCACCTTCCGCTTGTAGGCAGAGACCGTCATGTTCCTTGGTTTTACCCTCGGGAACAGACTTCCTATCACTGCTCTGGAGCCCGGCCGTTTCCACCGAAGGTAGTCCAGAAGATCCAGCAAGTCCTCAACCAGGTTCTGAGGATCAGTTGACGCCGACACGTCGTTCTCTCCCACTTGAAAGAAAACAATGCCCTGGAAACCTGCATCAAGGGCATCCACCACTGCTTTCATCCGAGCGACAGTCGCCCCTCCTATCCCACGCACGGAAGTGATGATGCCACGTGGAGGGGACAGATTTGATCAAGTCGCCGCACGAAGCTATGTCCCAGGATGGCAAAGTGGACGGGCTTTGAAACAGGACCTTTAAAAGTGTGTAGGCCATGGCTTGAATGAAGTCTTCAACAATGAGCTGTGTCAAACAATGTTAGCACAAGTGCCGTGATGCTTGTATCTGACTGCTAGGTATATATAGCCCGGGCGATTGAAAAGTGTTTGTATTAAGCTCTGCATTGAGGTCACAGAGTCAATCAATCATTCATGGATTAAGGCCGGTTGGTAGCTTAAACCTGACACGACTCACTCATCCCATTCACTTATGCGATTAAACAACCGATCAACGATTGGCGCTTTCAGTCGTAATTCCCGCCACTCGGTTGGCTTCCATGTCTCACTCAGAAACTCTCGGATTAGGCATTACAATCAAAACATCAGAGCAGAGCCTGTGTGCCCCACCACAACAAGTGCCTCTGCAAACGTGACGCCAATCAAGGCTCATTTGAAGACAATGAGGTGAGTAAGAACTCACTATGAAGCTACTTAAGGGATGTAATTGTGTGAAGGTGACCTTTAGTAACAAACAATAAGAATTAAATATCACAAAAAACGTGTCTCCGTTTTCTCTTCACATGGAAATAAAGACAATACCAAAGCTAAACGTAGCAAAGAAATCGTTTTATTCATCCTTCCAGACAACATCAAACCAAGTGCAAACATAGCAAAAATTCAGTTCGCCATCACACCAGGTGGAATTGAAGACAATACCACGGCTAAGCGCAGCAATGAAAACGTTTTATTCATCCTTCCAGACAACATCAAACCAAGTGCAAACATAGCAAAAATTCAGTTCGCCATCACACCAGGTGGAATTGAAGACAATACCACGGCTAAGCGCAGCAATGAAAACGTTTTATTCATCCTTCCAGACAACATCAAACCAAGTGCAAACATAGCCAAAAATTCAGTTCGCCATCACACCAGGTGGAATTGAAGACAAATATCCGGGCTAGTTCGTAGACATTGAAAGCATGTTCCCCACCTGGAAACAATACTATCAATGCCTCGGCCGGCCTACCGACTCAATTCATAGAACTTGAGCCAAGTGTAGAAAATCACTTGAGCCAAGGATTATATTTCAGTTTCACATGCCCGACTTTACCTCGACCTGATGTTTTTCCCGTTTAATTTACTGGTATTATTAGTTCTTTGTTGTTATTGTTTTAAGTTTATGTCATTGCGGTTTGGGTTAGGATTCAGCTTAAAGAGAGGCCGGCCGTAGGCTTTTAGTTTTAATTTATGGTTTTTTTCGGTTTTGGTTTACGTTTTAACCTTCTTTGTTTTAAGTTTATGTCATTGCGGTTTGGGTTAGGATTCAGCTTAAAGAGAAGGCAGTAGGCTTTTTAGTTTTAATTTATGTTTTTTTCGGTTTTGGTTTACGTTTTAACCTTCTTTGTTTTAAGTTTATGTCATTGCGGTTTGGGTTAGTGATTCAGCTGAAAGAGAAGGCCGTAGGCTTTTAGTTTTAATTTATGTTTTTTTCGGTTTTTAGGTTAGCGTTTTAGATTAGAGAGAGAAGGACTTATTGCCTTTCACGCTAGTTTTATGTTACATCGGTTTGTGGTTAGTGTTAGTTTAGAGCGAGACAGTGTTAACTTGTACTTTTATTTTGCATTCCCCATTTGTAAGACGAACATGATCATGACGAAGCATTTGTGCATCACAGTCATATACCCAGATGGATAACCATAGCTCACGCATTCAATACTCTAACAATTGCATAATGGACAAATGATTCAAACATGTCAGCACAAATATATAATACGAAACATTAAACCTGGAAGGATACAACTTTGATTTCAAAGTCCGATTGCTGTGATGGCGCAGTTGAGTCTATGCAGGAAGGTCGTCGTGGTAGATCAGATCTCTGTGAATTCTTCAGGTACTGTTGACAATGGCAGTGGAGCTGCTACACGTGATGAACAATACATACTACAATTTACATCAACATGCATAACAAACGTCAGAAAACGTCAATGTCCGTCTGGCGTGTAGTGCCATTGCGCCTACCCATCAATTGGGTGACTCTCGCATACATAGCTGTAGACACTACAGCAATATACCTCTCCTTTCCCATATGCCACACCTTAGGGGAATTGCAAAGATTTGACACGGCAAATCATGCACAGTTACCACCAAATCGCCTCTGAGCGCCTGCCTGGATTCGACCTGGTTTGCCTGCGCGCCAGCCAACGCTTCGCCACCATCGCCTCTCCTCTATGGGGCGACCCTTCACTCCCATGCAACACCAGCATTTCGTCCTGCTTCCAGGAGAAATCAACCACCGTTTGCGCTTGCTTACTGTCAAGTCGCCTCTGAGCGCCTGCCTGGATTCGAACTGGTTTGCCTGCGCCAGCTACCGTTCCGCCGCTAATGCCTCTCCTCTAAGGGTCGCCCCTTCACTCCCATGCAACACCAGCATTTCGTCCTGCTTCCAGGAGAAATCAACCACCGTTTGCGCTTGCTTACTGCCAAGTCGCCTCTGAGCGCCTGCCTGGATTCGACCTGGTTTGCCTGCGCCAGCCAACGCTTCGCCACCATCGCCTCTCCTCTATGGGGCGACCCTTCACTCCCATGCAACACCATCATTTCGTCCTGCTTCCAGGAGAAATCAACCACCGTTTGCGCTTGCTTACTGTCAAGTCGCCTCTGAGCGCCTGCCTGGATTCGACCTGGTTTGCCTGCGCCAGCTACCGTTCCGCCGCTAATGCCTCTCCTCTAAGGGTCGCCCCTTCACTCCCATGCAACACCATCATTTCGTCCTGCTTCCAGGAGAAATCAACCACCGTTTGCGCTTGCTTACTGCCAAGTCGCCTCTGAGCGCCTGCCTGGATTCGACCTGGTTTGCCTGCGCCAGCCAACGCTTCGCCACCATCGCCTCTCCTCTATGGGGCGACCCTTCACTCCCATGCAACACCAGCATTTCGTCCTGCTTCCAGGAGAAATCAACCACCGTTTGCGCTTGCTTACTGCCAAGTCGCCTCTGAGCCCCTGCCGGGATTCGACCTGGTTTGCCTGCGCC